GAGTGGAGCCGTTCCTGGGGCGGGGCCTTCCCGGGAGAGGGTGCGGTTGGGGGGTGGGTGGAGCTATTCCTCGGGGGCGGGGCCTTCCCTGGAGGGTGAGGTGGGTGGAGCTACCCCTCGAGGGGCGGGTCTTCCCGGGAGGGGCGTGGCGGCGCTCACAGCCTCACCAGCTGCCCTGTCCCAGACAGGTCTGCGGGGCTAGGTCCTCCAAGCGCATCTCCAAGCTGGCCTATCACCAAGGCGTGGTCATTGTGACCTGCCCCGGCTGCCAGAACCACCACATCATCGCGGACAACCTGGGTTGGTTCTCGGACCTGAATGGGAAGAGGTGAGGCCTGTACCCCAGGGCTGGGCCAGGAGTCCACCCAGAACCCTGGCCTCCCTGGGGGAACCGTGCCCTAATGTGGAGGTCTGTAGATCTCACCTGGGCAATCCAGCCACCTTATCAATACAAGATACACAGTTAAATTAGAATTTCCTATAACCCCCAGATAGCTGTTTAGTTTAAGTATGCCGGAAGTAGGGGTTGTGTTTTCATTTGCTAAATCTTGCCAGCCCTGTGGCCCTGCCTCCCTGCCTCTGCCTGCCCTCTGCCCTCACTGCCAGTCTTGTCTCTCTGGCGTGGTACTTTTTTGCCCTCTGCCGTCTCGGAGTGGCTGGCCCAGAGCAAAGTGTGGAGTGTGGGCCAGGCGGTGTGGCCTGGGCCCTGGCTGCTGGGAGAGCAGTGGAGGTGGTGTTGGGAGCCTGGTCCGGGCCTTGCCTGACCGGGAGGTCCTGGGCAGGACAGTAACAGTGACAGCAGGTCTGAGACCAGCATGCTGGGCACTTGGTGGTACCTGGCCCTTGGAGCTGGGGCTGTCCTCCCATCAGACCTGGGGCTGCAGACTCTTCCCTCTGGCGCATAGGGGGCAGGAGCAGTACTGGGTTCCTGAGGTGGCACATACTGGCAGAGACACAGGGTTGGTGAGGGCACACAGGCCAGCATCTGAAGTGCCCACGTGGCCTGATGCCACAGGAGTGCTGGGCCTGGTGCTTGCAGCTCTGGCCTGGCCATGGGGCACCCTGAGGGGACTGAAGTGCAGGGCGAGCAGGGGGCCCTGAAGAACCTTGTTGCCTCCCTGCCTCCCAGAAATATCGAAGAGATCCTGGCGGCCAGAGGCGAGCAGGTGCACCGTGTGGTGGGCGAGGGGGCCCTGGAGTTCGTTCTAGAGGCTGCAGGGACCCCCACATCCACTGCTGCTCCAGAAGCAGGTGAGGATGAGGGTCCCCCCGGCCGTGGCAAGACGGAGCCGAGCTGACCCCTGTGCTCCCCAGCACCGTGGGGCTTCTGCCTTCCAGAAGGATGTTTTGGCCCTGGGCCTCTCCGGACATGGCCTGTTTTCTATCAATAAACAGACATTACTTCCGGATGCTGGGGCCGGTGGCCCTGGTGGCATTTCTTTTTCTGGAGTTAGAATGACTGCTCTGAATCCCTGGTGCTGCTGGGTGGGACACTGGAGCTGCAGGACCTCTCGCCTCACCAGTTCCTCCTACACGGAGTCGCCTTGGACTTGCCCACAGGGGCCACAGTCGCCTGGAAAGGGGGCTGGATGTGGAGTCAGAGCCCCTCTTGTTTGTCACTGCGTGACTTTGAGCAGGTCACCACCCCTGTGAGCCTCAGCCTTCCTCTGCAAGCCCCTTGCCATCCCCCTGGCCAGCTCTGGCGGCCTCTTTTCCGTCAGCCAGTGCAGACCTGAGCCCTGGCCCTCGGCCGCTGGCTGTCGGTGACACTGAGCAAACTGGGCTGCTTGCTGGCCCAGGCAGGACGAGCAGCTATGGTGTGGCCACATGTCGGGAGCTCCAGGCCCCTCCCGGGGGGAGCCATCTGGGCCTCCTCCCCTCGGTGGACAGCGCTCTGGATGCCGCAGGGCCCTCCGAGGCACGTGCGGTTTGTCTCCCAGCCTCGTTTGTGCACAGGATGTTCCCGTGTTGATGAAAGCGAGCACACACAGGAGCCTGTTTATTTGCAGAAGCGTTCTGGGCAGTGTGACCTTCAGCATTAATCACCCACCACACTCTGGCAGGAAAGAGAATGGGGCGAGGTGGGAGGTGGAGGCAGAACTGAGCACGACAGGGACCCAGTGCAGCCCCTCCCAGCAGGACCCGGCCGGGACTGCCAGCTCACATCCGGCCCGTGGGAGGCCGGGACCTGGTGGCATTGTTCCCAGCGCGCTTGTGGTGTGGGCTTTGACTCGATTACCCGTCCTCTCAGCCAACAACCCTCTGTTATTTCCACCCCGAACCCTCTGTGCCATTTGTGGAAACTGTCCTCCCCTCGCTGAGCCACCCGCACCCAGGCCTGCTTCTCCATGGGGGCACTGACTGGGGGTCTCTTGGGGGCCTGGAAGTGCAGAGGCCGGTGGGCTGGGCTTGGCTTGGGTGCCTCACTGCCTCCAGAGGGCCTGGACCAGCATGTGGGGAGGTCCAGGGAGCCGTCGGACCTGGAAGTGCAGGATTCGAGCGAGGAGAGCCGCTCGGGCCAATCCCTCCTCTTACAGCTGGGGAGATGGAGGCCAGTAGTTGGGATGTGGACGTTACCGTGTCTTTTTTCTCTGGTGCCAGCACCTCTGGGGCCAGGCTGGCCCTGGAGGGACACCCTTCCCAAGGCTGGCACGTTCCTAGAGTAGAGAAGACCTATGGCCACCCCCGGCGTGCCCGACACATCCCACCAGCTTCTGCCTGAGGTCCCCTTGGACCCTGTCTTCCTCCGCCCTTCCCTCCCCCCAGCCCCACTGCCACAGTCAGGTTTCTGCAAGGGGCTCTGCCATCCTGATCTCCCAGCACTCTGCACCGCCTGCCTCCAAGACATCCCTGCCTCCTGGGGACGGCTGCTGGCCTGGGCATCCCTCACCACCGTGTGCCTCTCCAAGAGGACTCCTCAGCCGCACCTTCGGAGGCTGTCCCATGCGTCAGCCAGCGGCGTGGGGGGCACTGCCGCACCTCCCTGGCTGTGATCCGTCCCAGGCCCTGCACGGTTACTTGGACCCTGTGTGCATGTACCGCCACCCGCAAGCCGGCCGGGACCCCGGACCTGGAGTACACATTGATTCTGGTTCCCAAGGCCCCTTCTGAGGTGGAGGAGGCAACAGAGTCAACCAGCACAGAGGCTGTGGCTGCCAACGTGGCCAGATGGGCTATGGCGAGGGGCAGCCGGACTGCCCGGTGCAGCTGTGTCTCCCGCGACAGGGGCCCTGTGGGGGTGCTGCCCACCACAAGCAGCATCCAGAGAAGCCCCAAGACTGCCGGTCTGCCCCCAGCTCCTGTGCTGTGGCTCAGTGTCCAGACCCCGAGCCCAGCCGGATCAGACTCCAGGAAAGGGCCTCCCCCCACTGGCTGCAGGGTGAATGGCAGCAGGCTGGGTCCTCAAGGGGCCGTGGGGCTGACCTGGGGGTTGCTGCTTCGGGGGCTGGCCTCAGCCACTCGAGTGTCAGCTCAGAGCATGCTCTGTTTCCCTAGGGGCTGGCATCGTGAGGAGGTAGGGGTGACAGCAGGCAGCCACTTCACCCCTCTGTGCCCCGGCTCCCCCGGGGTTAAATGCAGTGGGAACTCCATCTTTCTGAGGTCTCAGAGGGCCCAGACCGTGGGTATCTGTGGACACTGCACAGTGCAGCCTCTTACCTGGGTCACCCCCGGGACTAAGGCCATACGGACCACACTCACTTGGCCGACTTTATTTTTCAGGAAAAAACAGAAAAACAAATGTACCTCTTGGGTTGGAAAGGACCCACTGACAACATGGCACACACATGTGAGCAATAAATACGCACATACATTCAAGTATGCAGGGGGGCGCTACGTCCTGGAGACCCTGTGTCCGGGCACCTGTCCCTGCCCTGGGGTGCAGCCCTGCCCCTCCAGAGGCAGCTCACCTCGCCGGGCCCAGGACTGCCTCTCCATCCCAGCCTGAGAGCGGGCTCCCTCCTAGATGCACCCTCCTAGATGGAACTGCCAGCCCTGGGGGCTGTGGGGCCATGGTGGGGCCCCCGGGAGATGCCACGGCTGGGTCTGGACAGGAGCAGGCAACCTCAGGCCCACCTCAGGCTCCAACAAGTCCTGCCAGTCTCAGGATCCTGAACTCAGTGTCCTGTGAGCCCCCTCCCCATGGGGAGACAGCAGTGATGTCATCTCCCCCAGCTGGTGGGAGGAGGGGGGTTCTCATATCAGGGGTTCTGCAGGGTTGAGCTGAGTGAAGCCTCCCCAGCTCCCACTGACCCCCCGCCTCGGGTGAGGGTCACAGAGCCTGGTGCTGTCTCCCGCCCTGACTGAGCACTGTGCCCACTGCCAGCAAGCGTCCCCAGGACCAGGCCCTGCCCTTTTTCCTGGCTTGGGGGTTTGGAGTGTTGAAGTTCATGCCCAGCCATTCCCTCTGCTTTACATACAGCCCCAGCTCCCATCAAGGCCCCTGCAGTGGGGAGGCACCTCAGAGCTGCCCCTGCGGCCTGGTCTGGGGGGCCTTCTGTGATTGTAGGCCTCCTCCGGCCCGGGCAGGAGTGGGGAGATAGACTTGGAGGGAGCCCTGCCCCGGGACGAAGCTGGAGGGGACGAAGCCGGCTGCGTGGCCGTCCCAAGACCAGTTCTGGGAGGATAGAACATGGCCCTGTCCTTGGTGGCCCGGAGAAGAGGCTCAGAGACACCTCTGGGGAGAATGGGGCAGACAGCAGGTTTCACATTTGGCAGGGCAGGACAGAATGAGAAGGGCTTGGGGGAGAGGGTGCGGGAGTCTGACAGCACCGGGTCGGGGCCGACATGCCGGAGACCCCATCCGGCCTGCGGCGGGGCAGGAGGGAGGAAGTCCAGGGCCATGGGGGGCCAGCCCAGGATGAAGAACGCCCTCCCGCCGCGGGCAGCTCGGCCTGAGCCTGCTGCTCTGGGTTGGGGAGGCCGTGGGGCTGCATGCCCAGTGCCTGTCCTCAGCAATGGCCTCGGGAGGACGTGGCTGTGACTGTGAGCCCAGCGTTTAGGAGCGGGGGCAGGGCGGGCCTGGCGGTGGGCACAGGGCCTTAGCTCGAACCAGGCTGGCACTGCTGCTGGGGCTCGGGCGGGCCGCCTGTTCCCTGCTCCGGGCCCCCGGCGAGGTCCACCCGCTGCTCGTCCATGCGCTTGGCCTGCACCCTCTGGATGAGGCTGAAGAAGTCCTCGTCTGGCATGGTAGGGCCCCGGGGCAGCACGTCGGGCGGCGGGCAGCGCTGGTCATCGATCCTGGAGGACTGAGTGGACACAGTGTGGTTGGCGGCCTCACCCTCCCCAGGTCCAGTGGTCCGGGTGCTGGTCAACAGGGGCGGTTCCGGAGGGCCGGCGTGCACTGCTCATGGGCTTCCCCATGTCTACCCAAGGAATTGGTTCTGGGGCCTGCCTCGCTCTGGGGGCTTGTGCTGGGAGCCCGGGCCCTGCGCACAGTCTTCTGGTGGCCCTGCCCCCACCCCCCAGGAGCCCACGGCAGGCCCACCCAGGAAAAACAGGTCCAACGATTCCCACTGGGCATGGGTGCGCCAGGGCCAGGAGACAGTGGCTAGGTTGGCGTTGGACGCCTGCTCCCCAGATCTGCTGATCCCCAGGGACGGGCATGCGTAGCCGTCCCTCTGCCAGGTCTTGGAAACCGGCACAGCCTGGGGCTGACGCTGGCAGGCCTGAGGTCTCAGCTTGCAGAGCCCGAACTGTGGCGCTCCCCAGGGCTCCCCCTTGGGTCAGGTGGCCGACCCCGTGGGCCTCGCCTGCTCCAGCGTGCAGGCCAGGGGGCCAAGGGGGCATCTGGGCTTCTCTGAAGGGCCTGGAGCAGGAGGGACGGGAGCTGGCACAGGCATGCATGTGGACGGGGGACTCTGGGCCTCTTGGGTGGGGCTGGTTTGGAGGCGGCTGGTCGGATGCCTGGCCCCAGGCCGCGGTTTCTTCTCCGCTGTAGGGAGGACGGCAGACCTGGAAACTCGCTGGCTTGGTGCATGGTGGGCCAAGTAGCCTCCACCGCCAGCTTGTTTCCAAGTCTAGGGACCCTGAACCCCTTCCCAGCAGTGGCTGCACCCCACAGGGATGGTGAGACCCCCAGAGTTTGAGGTCCCAGTTGGGACAACTGTTGGCTCAACAGTCCCCGCTCCGGCCACCCTACCTGGCTCACCCCCACACAGGTGAGGAGGGCATTCCCGGTGTGGCTGCCAGGCTGGAGCCCCAGCCTTGGCTCTGCCCTCTGGGGCTGGACCCTCCGCCCCTGCCATCCACTGTGTGGTCCCTGGATGGTCCCTGTTTTTGTCCTGCCAGCCGGCTGGCAGCCCTGGATCCCCCTGCCCTCCCCACTCTGGGGATGCTATCTGGCCCGTGTTTTCCCTGCCAGGTGTGGAGGGCTGGTGGGGAATCCCTGAGGCCATGAGCTCCAGGA